TGGCATGACTGTTGGTGTCAGGCTGGTTTGAGTATTTCTGTAACTGCTGATCTCCTGGGTTTTTCACGCACAACAGTCTCAAGAGTTTACTTAGAATGGTGCAGAAAGGAAAAACATCCATTGAGCAGCAGTTCTGTGGACAGAATTGCCTTGTTAATGAGAATGGTCAACAAAGAATAGCCAGACTGGTTTAAGTTGACAGAAAGGCTACAGTAACTCAAATAACTACTCAATACAATTGTGGTGAGCAGAAACGTATTTCAGAATAGACAACATATCAACCTTTGAGATGAATGGGCTACAAAAGCAGAAGACTGTGTTGGGTTCCACTTCTGTCAGCTGAGAATAGAAATCTGAGGCTGGACAGTTGAAAACTGGAAAAACATACAGTAGCATCGTCTGATGAATCTCGATCTCTACTGAGGCACAAAGATGGTAGGGTCAGAATTCAGCATCGACAGCATGAATCCACAGACCCAACCAAAAGTCATCTCAAACTGGTTCCCCGAACATGACAATGAGTTTAATGTTTTTTAGTGGCCTTCCCAGTCATCATATCTGAATCCAATAGAACATGTGGGAGAACAGGAGATTCGCAGCATAAAAATGCTTAAAAAAAACATTAAATATGCATAACAAAATTTCAGAAAACTCAACAGACAATAAAGTCAATAAAGACAATACATTTATTGAAATGCCTGAAAACATTAATTATTCCAAACCAATGCTCTTCCAAAATGGTTTCCCAAAATAAAAAAACAAACAAACAAGAACAGCCATATGAATGGTGGTGTAGCCTTGCAGAGGATACCCTAGTAGGTAAGTAGCAATTGTCTGAGTGCAACCATATATTAAAGGAGGATTCTGGCCTAAAACTAGCATTTAATGTGTTATTTGGTCATCAGTTTGACAGAATTCAGAATTTTGTATCTTTTTTGTGTTATGGTTCACAAGGTTTCTTACTACAATACCCAGCAAATATGTCAAACAACCACTGGGAGCTGCTTGAAAGCGATAAAAAAATTAATAAATACAAAGGTGATATTTGGCTTCTTAACAGTAATACTAGCTATTTGTCTTCCTTCTGCATTAGCCAGCTAGTGGAAAACAATTCAGAAACCCCCTCTATATATATCTGTCCCACACCACTTGTAGTTTTTCAAAAATTCCTCCCACCTTCAAGATACATCATCTAAAGGTTGTTTTCTAGTCTTTAAACTGGAAAATCTCACTCTCAGGATTATTGTGGCACCACTGTAGGAGGTGAGTAGGCATGTTTACAACAGATATAGCAATGTTTACATTTTTTCCTTTTGGCCAGAGTGTCCTTTTACCTGTTTCATGTGTGAGTGTGTGAATATGCACATACATGGAGAATAAGTAAGGCCTGTAAGTACAGTTTGCAGCATCAAGAGAGTGACTGTTTTGTCCTTATTTTTAAGTCTACTGCTTTAATCAAGAGTTAAACCTCTTAATCTTCTTTACAGCAATATTTAGTGCAGACCCCATGTTGACCCATGCGGTGTGGAGGAGTTTGGATTATGAAGGGAATTTGGAAAACTCAAATGAAGTGAAGGCCTTCTTTAGGACCGGAAGCACAGTAAAGCTGCTAACATCTTTTAATGTGTTTCTCTGTACTGTGCCGTCTGGTTAAAACACTGCAGGTCAGGAAGAGGTTAATGTAGGATTACAGCAAACATAAATACTGTAGTGCAAACACACAGTATAACATGATGATATTATAGAAATGATAGCATTTAAGGTGGATGACCATACTTAATATAAGTATTAAATCAGACGGGCTGTGTGTATGTTCATGTGTGTATCCATTGTTGCCTATATTTGTCTTAATGTGAAATATTCATACAAAAGAGTAGGAGCAGACACAATATGGCCTAATGTTTTCTTGCTTTGTTCATTTGTTGATTTTTTTTTACTGTTACTAATCATTTTTTAAAGTTTACATTGGTAACAATTTGACAAAAACTGACCCAGATAATATTACTTCCATAAACAATCTGAAAAGTTGACTCATCACACCAAAATACACATTTTCCCCTTTGCATAAGTCTACTTCAGAAGAGCTTGAGCTCAGAGAAGTCGGCGGCATTTCTGGACATTGTTGATATATGGCTTCCGCTGAGCTGCTACAGTTTCCATCCTTGCTAATAGAGTTCTAGGCCTTAATGGATGCTTCTTTTAAACCCAAAAATGACTTCGTCACCTGTTTCTTTCATTTCACAATGTTTCTAGTCTTATATTGCCCTTTCTCAAGATTTTTTGTTTGAATACAGATCAAAGTGGATTTATCACTGCCTTCTGTTTGCATTTCATGTCCAGTCCCAACTTTTTTTGCAGTTGAAGTTTCTAGATTTTTTTTATTCAGAACATGTGACTTCACACTTATTCATTTTGCCACATGACACCATGTGACTAAGAAATTGTGTGTGTGTGAGTAAAGAGTTTTTAGTATTTGCCTGCTGATCTATTATTAAACTTATCTTCTTGCCCTTATCTCACACTCTGTTTTTATATGTCTTCCTGTCACAAAGTGTTCTACAGTCTGCTCAAATGTTGGGTGATGATCCAAATAAGCAATCCAAAAAAACAACAGTGGAGGTATCAGTAGTCAGTGCATAAAAAACTTTAATCAATTTAATACCCAAATAGAAAGTGAATTACAAATAAACTCTTCTCTGGAAAATACAGTACACATGTACATCATGATCTGGTTTTCCTAGTCATCATCTAAACCACAATAAATCCTTTAATGTTTGGGGTGTAATATATGACGAGACCTAACAATCATTCTTTCCTATGGTTCTCAAAGATTGCATGTTTTCCAGTGAACCAAACTGCCACATAATTTTTGTGATTGGAGCCATTTTCTTACATTTTTTTCTCTGATCATTAGATTTGTACCAGATTAATCTCCATAAAGGTGGCTCCTTCAATCAAATGAATTAAATACAGAAGTGTGAATGCAAGTAAAGAACAATGGACTGTATAATTGTTACAAGGGCATCTCCAGTGTATGTGAGTTCATGTATGCAAGTTTCTCCTGCTCTGTGGCGGGAAAAGGAAGAAAGCGGTCGCCTGTTAACATCTCTGTACGAAGATGTTTTCAATAAACCCAATTTTTGCCGCACAACTGCATGTCTAATTTATGCTCAATAACTTCTACAATCTGGGAACGAAGTTGACTATAAGTCAACTATACGGAAAACTGCATCAGGTTCAAGCAACATTGCAGAACAAATTGGAATTGAAACTATTTTACACTTCAAAGGAAATACTGCACTTAAAAATCCAACTGATTGGAAGCACTGGAAGAATTACCCAAAAGTCTTACATCAGAGGTGCCCAACCATGCGGCTGGAGGTCTCCTCACCCTGCAGAGTTTAGTTCCAGGCCTAATCTAAAAGCACTCAGGAACATCTGAACATTAGAGCGAGGTGTGGTAAATAGAGGCTGTCGCTAAACGTCTGTACACTCCAAAAATATGTTGTGGTTGTCATATATTTTATCTGCTCTAGTTGAAAATGTGTAGCTAATTAAATTCTGCTCATTTTATCTTTGTTTTTGTGCTGGAAGGTAGATCTTGAGGAGCAGTGTTGGGCAGTCTTGTTACATGCTCCTCTTGTAAAGTCTCTAAGGCACATGAAAAGATGTAACCTTTGCTAAATCCATTAAGTTACATACTTTTTTGGGGGGTGTAAGTTGTACAGGTGAACAATCAGTAGTCTTACTTCAGCCTCATCCATGTACTCTGTGCGAGATGTTACCTTCAACTCCCTAACGTCCCACCACCGCTAGAGGGCTCAGTAAGCACTGCTGTTAACAAACAATAAAAGTTTAATAAAAGAGCAGCCCACCATAACGGTAGGATCAGGCAGAGCACTGGAAAACGTGATCGTGCGGTCTGACAATCTTTTCCTGAGAATGAACCTATGTAGCCTATGTAAAAAACGACAATGGCCAAAAAGTAAGAGCGCTGGCTCGTTCAGATCAGCCCTCACTGAGCCAAGGAGCTTTAGGAAATATGCTTGATTACGAAATGTGACCAGTAGGCTTTCTTAATGAAGTCCAGACACCAGCGCTAGTGTTGTACAGGTCTGCCTGAAATTCCTCTACATGCCAGTACTAACAAATTCAGTCGAGGCTACTTAGGAAGATCCTTTTAATTTTTTTTTTTTTGTTCGCTATAAAAAAATTACAAAATCAAGATATCAACCAGTTTATAAAATAGGTCAATGAAGCCTATATGAGTGCATTGTTTGCATTGTTGCCCGTGTTATGTAGGCCACAACATAAACAACATTATAATGCCCAATATGAAATAAAAAAAAACGTAGTAATAATAATAATAATAATAATAATAATAATAATAACAGTTATTATCGTTGACATTATCATCATTGAATCATCATTATTATTTAAAAAAAAAAAACCCTTTCCGCTTTGTCGCCAGTTACATGTGTTATCCTATTTAATGTAAAGATTAGCGCAAATAACTGCGATTTGTTACAGCGTGTCACTGATTTAATCTGAAATATAATCTGCTACGCTCGTTTTTTTCCTCAGCCTGCCTCTACTGAAGAATCCCACCAAGTTCACGACGATCTACCGTTCCTTTGTAGAAGATGCTTATTAGACGACCGTAAAAGTGTAGCCTGTAGCTCGGGCTTTTGGACAACGTTCAAAATGCTAAAATAAATCGCCTCGACGAGACGACGGCGCTCCTTAAAAAAGACTGAGTCGATCGGCCCTGATGGCGTGGAGAAGGGAGTTAATATGGCTGTCCCCAATTTATCTGCCCATGTAGTAAAGCTTCGCCTTGTGCTGCTGACACGACGCGCATAACAACCCGTTTAGTTTCCCATCATTTTCTGAGCTCCTTGTCCCCTCCCCTCCAGACACAGACAACAACATACACCTTAATAGGGGCGCGTCTCCGACACAGCCGCCGACCAATAACCCGTCTGTCTGGGCAGAGACCGAGGGGGATGAGCGCCTGTCGAGGCCCAATCAGCGCCTTTGTGTTGCCTGCCGGTGCCGGGGACTGGTCGTGAGGAGCTACTGCGGCGCTTCAGGATCAGCGAGTGAACCCGGATCCAGAGCAACCTGAAGGGCGAAGGCAAGTCAGGTGAGTCCGGGGATTCAGCCGGGGCCTAGCCGGGACGGGACGTGATTTTTGAATGTACAGCGGCGGGATTTGAGCACTCGAGTTGTACAGGCGAGCGTTCAATGAGGCTAAAACGCTGTCGGAAAGCACCAGCGATAAACGGTTTTCAAACATTTTGACGAATGACCAGACAATAGCGTGGCCGCTTTGCTGGCTCGCAGAGGTTTCTGACGAGCGCGTAGGAACGTTAGTTCAAAGTGGCTGGCTAATAGTATTAAAATGATCTCAGACTGTCTTCGGCGCAGCGCCTCAAGCCGAACGGCTCTCGTCCGAGCCAGTCGACTCGAAAATGTGGGAAAATTGAAGAAATACTTTCGCTCGATTCTCATAGATTTGCAATATTTTCTGTTTGAAAAGCGTTTCATTGTTTCATCCCGTGTCTCTGGGGGTTTAAGCCAGATTGGCGGAGAGAGAGAGAGAGAGAGAGCCAGCCTCGCGTCCTCCGGGCTGAGGCTACAGTAGTGCAGCAGTACACACAATGAACCCCCCCTAAATTATACCAATTGTACCTTTTATAATTCATCTAGGAAACGTAATGGAAGAAGTTCATGTTAAACAGGAGGTTCAGCGCTGGTTCTGAGCGCAGAGAAACTGGGTATTTGCTGAACTGTGTTGAGGGGCACACGGTAGTGTACGGCAGAGCTGATGGCTGTACAATTAGAAAAAAAAAAAAAGATCCGAAAATGCATCAGCCATTTACGTAAGTGAGGACGTTCTCTCAACTTGCTCCATATGCACGCAAATGGCTGCCCAGCACTTGACAGGGGGAAAGGCTGAAATTTAATTCCAACGTGAATGCATGCATTGATCGTAACCAACAGGGAGCCACTGATAAACGGGTAGAGATGACGTTTGGAAAGAAACTCTGATCAATAATATATGCAGTCTATTATTCTTGGTGCTGCAGACACGTCAAAAGTGAGACGGCGCCTAATTTGTAGGCTGTACAGTCTGTCCAAGTCCAAGTCCAAGTCCAAGTGTGTTTTTAGTATGTATTCTGGAGGCAGCCGTCTCCAACTTGGCTGTAGAGAGTTCATTTCCTTGCTGAAGTTGCATTTTTGTTTTTAGCATATAGGGTAGAGGATGATGGTATGACACGGACGTCAGCATGCTATATTATATTATAGCATACTTATGGATAAACAAATTAAAAGACTTATTCTTACATTTCTGATTATGTCACTACAGCAGGATGGTAAAGTAGTTAAACTCCACACATGTTGAAATGAATAAATCAGGTCTTTCTTTCAGTAATTCAGAAAATTCTTAGAAGGCTTAAGAGATGCTTTGGTGTTAAATGGGATTTATTCAGATATTAAAATTTCTTAACGTTTTGATTTAAGTACCCTTTTCAACTCCAAGAACTCCTAGCATGGTAGGAAAGAGCAGGTGCGTTTTGGAGAACTTCAGTTCTTTTCAGGTTTATTCTCTTTGGGGGCAGCTGTATTGTGTGGAGTTGCTTTCTAAAGGCTGAAAGCTTATGACAAAAACTACATTGAGTTTATAATTATTATTTTACTTCCTGTCATGTTCATGAAGTGCTGTCATGGGTGACTTATTGTCGCTGTGCTCTTTGTCATTAAAATTCCCAGTTGTCTTACTACACTGTGTACATGTTAAAGAGACAGTATGGAAACTTTCTTTTCACGCCTTTTCTGATGACTTCAGCCTTTTTTTTCCTGTATCCAAGCTTTTATTTTGGGCATAGATTGGCGTAATGAATGAAATGTTCATTATAAAACAGCTGGTATTGAGTGAGTGGCCCTTGTATCAAACAGTTGTCTCTGTTGACTCTCTCATTTATTTTCATATCCAGTGAGCTGAGGGGGCTGTAGTTGTCCTCCTTAGTACCCCATCATCTGCTACTGAAAAGCATGGTTATGTGGTCCCTAAGACCACCTTTTCACAGCAGACACATCAGACGGGAGCCAATAGTTGTTGTGTTTTTTTTCCCCTCCTGCTCATTTTGAAAGAGGCTACTGCACACTTTGAGGGTTACCCCACTAGTATTACATCCTCAGGAGGGATCCAAACAATGTTCTTATTGACTGTTTTGCTCAAAGGTATTTTGTGTGGACTGTTTCTCCCTCTCTTCAGATGGAAGATAGAGGAGTAGGGTTGTATTTATTTTTTCTAGCGTTTTTTTTAGCTATTCATCACTTCAGTCAAAGCACCCCAGCTTGTGGTCACTGCCTGTGAAGGGATTTCATGCAGTGTGCTCTCTTTAATTTCCATGGTGCATGGCCGTCTTATCTCCTGTGACTGCCTGGTATAGCTAAACCCACGAGACTTGCGATATGTGTCGCCAGGTGATTAGATGGAATACACCGCACTGAGCGAAGACTTTGGGGGGGGCTGCCTAATTTTTATCAATGTAGATTTTAACACTGATGCGCAACACTAAAAGTGTGTGTTGTACCAGAAGATGTCATGGTGGTACAGTTCTATCCACTATGCTAAAACACTGTTACCTATTCCACTGACATGGTTTATATATGTGTGTGTGTGTATGTATGTATATATATATATATATATGTATGTGTGTGTGTGTGTATGTATATATATGTATATATATATATATATATATATATATATATATATATATATATATATATATATAAACCATGTCAGTGGAATTTGATGAGATTTATTTTCTCCCAACCTTGAACCATATTTGGCTTTGTCTGGTTGATACATCCACATCATGCTACTGACGGCTGAGGTAATGTACCAGAAAAGAATCACAGCTAGAGCTGAGCTGTAGGCTATGACTGTGGCCCCAGAAAGTAGTTGCCTTGGCTTTACTTCAAAACTGCTAAATCGTCAGAAAAGGCAGTGTTTAGAATTAGCCGTGTCCCCTTGGCAAACATCACTGGTAGACACAACAAAGCAACTTGTTCTGTAAACATGCACTAGCAGATATATAGCAGTGAAATATGACTACCTGGTCTGAAGTTTTGTTAGATGAACACTGGCCGAGTCCGTTCTGAGTGGTAAGAATATGACTGCCAGATGTCCTCATATATCAATCTCTTAACATCCGTGCACTCTTTGTACCACCATCTTAAGTGGTGTGTTTCTCTCATCACCGCTTCAGTTTTGTGCTCAAGTTTGGCTCTTGGTTTGTCTGTGATGGCGGGATAAAAAGAACCCTGTCAATGGACTGCCGGGTCAAACAGTGTTCAATTCATTGACACTTTGATAAGCTGAGAGTTGCTGTTCTCACTTGGTGAGATAAGGCTTTGCAGATCTGTGCAGTAAAGTGAGCAAGTATTGGTTTTATAGGCAACTATAGGAACAGCATTATACACACCTACAGTTAAATTTGAACATACGTATCCATGTTTATACATTGGTTTCTAAACGTTATTGCTTGTCATACCTCAGAAAAGTCTCCTTACGGTATGTTGCAGTTTTAATTTACATTCGAGTTTTTAAGTTGGTAATTAAACTTTTATGATCATTCAAAAATTACTCCTATATTTGGGTCAACTCTTAACTAAAGTATAAATAAAATAAACAAACCTGCATACCTGGGCTGCTTGTGTTTACCTGGACATAAGTTTCAAAACAGACTGTGCATGTGTCTCAGTGTTTGTGTCAGAGAATTTGGGGAGGTCTCTCTCTACCACTAGCAGAGAATTATATGGCTCTGTGCTTATAAACATACATTTAGTAAAATAGCGAGAAGTACCATAACAGGAGGTGGTTCATTCCCGCAAGTGGCTGATGTACTTTCGTATCTCTGGAAGTCTGTAGCTTCTGTATCTTGAGAAGGGAGTTCATGGTTACCCCCTCAAAATCAGTGTTCATTTTGTGACCCGCGGTAATGTTAAATAGATTTGAGCGTTCTTTTTAAGAAGCAAGAAATCATCATAATTAGCTCTTAATCAGGAAAATTAAGTTTATTTCAAAATCCACCCAAGTGAAACTCCTTTGAGGGGGAGAAGCCTTCTTGGTTGCTGGCACGTGCTGCTAATTGATATGTGTGATGCTAATGAATGCTTGTGAAGTGTAGTGATAAACAAGGGTTTCATCTCGCACAGAAACAACAAAAAAAAACACAAAAGGCACATGTGTGTAGAATATTGTATCTGCTGTTGTGTTTATGTGATTGTTGATTAGTCAGAGATACGTGTGTTTGGGAAACTATAGTACTAGTCATGTTCAGTGTGTTGTTATAGCCACAGCAACTAGTAAATATCTTCTCAATTTACAACTAATTTTAAGGTAATACAGCAGAACATTTCCATTGTCCCATAACTCTGTGGCAGATGCATGGACAAGTTATAAAAGTTTTGTCACTTAGCTTGTGAGGAACATGTATCCTATTAACACATTGCACCCATGCACTTGAAAAGGCATGGATCTCTATTACGTTGGGCTCTACAGTCTCACTCTCATACATTACTGTGCAAAAGTAAGAGACCACCCTTAAGTTATTTAATTTCCAGTCACAGTGGCCAGGAGAAAAAAAGGAGAAAACACATTTAATATAGCATTCCACAGAAGCCTCAACAACTACATGTATTATCATTTTTTCAATATTTACTCTGTCCAACTTTGTTTATTGAAGCTTCCGTTCCTTTCAGGACACTTGCTGTCTTTTTTTTTTTTATTAGATTAGTTTTTAATACCTCAGAGGTTCAGTCTTAGAAGTTGGTTACTGGGGTGGGGACTTTGGGGTGGGCAGTTCATTGAGCTAAGAACACTAGCAGTGTCTTTGTTTGATTTGCAGATTTTCTTCTTTTTGTCTGTTATCTTTTCTCAGTAACAGCTTCCTGACAGCTACACATCGTTTCAGACCCATAGCGCTGAGTTGTCTTCTCACAGTCGAAGGATGGACAGAAAAACCTATGGATTTCTTCAGATCTGAAGCAAAAGTGGAGCTTGATTTTCTCCTCCCTCTCTAAGATGAATACTTTAAACACTTTATTTGATGGTGACATTTTTGTTGGTCC